AATTCAAGGCTGGTCCAAAATAACTAAATCTTAGTCAGCTTAATTGATCAAATAATCTTAACTGACATATTTTTTTGAGCCACTAACTTTTATTTACCTCAGTTGTCGTTAAGTAATTAAAACGGGATCAGTCTGCCACCCCAAAGCATGCCTCACTGTCATAAGGGTTGTTTGATGTGAAGGAAATTAGCTTTCTGCCATCCACCTTCCTGTCCAAAAGCAGGGCATAAATTTCCCTTTGTAAAGGTGTCTCCCTCTCCTACACCAAGAAGAGAACCACTCTGGAGACAATTCTTATCTGCAAAACAAATAACCCTTATTTATCTTACATTTCCTATCACCCTCCCCCCTAGAACTCACTGTCATGCCAGAAGCCCCAACCCCCCTTTCCTTAGTCTAGCTTCTTTCCACATTTTATCACTTGTTAAGATGATATGCAAGTCCCCAGTGCTAACGTTTCTTGAATCACATTTCTTTATGAACTCCCACGCATACACAGGTGATTAATTTTTTTCTCCTGTTAATCTATCATGTTTGATTTGCAGGCCCGCCAATGAACTTAAGAGGGTAGAGGAAGATGGTTTTTTTCCCTTCCCTACATATTCAAGGTTAGTCTTTATGTTACATATTGAAACCACTTCAAGTATTTTAGAACAAGTAGGAGGCATAAATAATAAATTAAAAGAGCGTTAAGTGCTATGCACTGAATTAAATTCCAGGTAGTAGTATACGTAATTTTGAATACTTAAAAGAACCATTATTCTTTTAATGGGGAACTGGGAAACAGGGTCCAAATCCACTTTGACTCAAGATCAAAGGACAAGAATTCCGAAAGTTTTGCTATTTGCATTTTGATAATTCTTTCATGATACATACACCATACTCCTAAGGTGTCGCAGAATTCCTATGCTCTGTAGCTGATGCTACAGTGTTTCACGGTGGGAAGTGGAGGTGAGGTGGGGGCAGGGGTATGTTTAATTCAAACATTCTTTAAAAGCCTTTTTATTCATTGGATTTAATTTCTCACTAATCCTGTGAAGGAAAAGCTGGGCTGGTCTAACAAGATAACTCACAAGTCTAGAAGGAAAGAGGCTGGGCTGGTCTAACAAGATAACTCACAAATCTAAGTATTGGAATACTGATCTGAGTTCTGCTAGACTAACTTGTAAATCTAGGTTAATTAGTGTTGGTTTGCTGTTCATGTTTTTTGCTAGCCAGCTGGGTTTTCAAAGATACATATCTGGCTTTGGAATGTTGGTTTGCTGCCTCCCTGCCTCCATCTTTGTGATGATAATGATGCTAAAGCTGTTCCATGCCTATTGGCCGAATACACAAAGCTTGTACTTTACCCTATAAAACCTCATGTGCACGTCTTGGAGGTGCTCAGGGCTTCGGAGCAGAAGCCCCTCTGAGCCCGCCGGCGTAATACATCTGAGTACTCCAACCCTCCAAGTGGTGCTTGTTTCTTGACTGACCTGTCGTTTCCGTAACAATCCAAGGAAACTTCCCTCTCTCAAACTATAACCCTTACCACACGCACATGCTCATTTTCTTCTTCTAGCCTTACCTCACATTGAAAACCACCACCTCCCCTGTGTCTCCCCCCAGCACCCTTTCCCCTCCTTCCTGCATAAATCAGAGCTGTACCACATTCAAGGCTAGAGGAAGTCCCATCTCCCTCATGCAGACTTCCTGGAATTCCCCAAACCTTTACCCAGAATTCTCTTCTTGAACTCAGATCTAGCCTATTTAATTTATAAGTGCTGCCGCCCCAAATGAGACTAAATGTTCCTCAAGGGCATAGTCATTTCTCCTTTTGTTATTTTGCACAGAACAGTTCTCCACATAGAGGCACTTAATGAATGCTAATTAAAATTTGGCTATTTATCAAATATCCATGTGCTTCAAAGTGTGTTAGATGTCGGCGATAAAATGGTGAACTATACGTAGTTCTGTCTCTTTCAGGGCCCTTACGAGCAAACGCCCCAAACTCACAGTAGTGTTTGGGCCAGTGTGCTGTCTGGCCAGTGTAATGTTCAAAGTGTTCTGAATTAGAACAGTTCCAAGCGGGACATTCACTCTCCAGTCCACAGGACTCTCTCACTCCCTTGTATCTGGCACCTGTCCACTCACTAATTTATGTTACCTTCAGCCCCTTGTGAAACATCCTTTATTTCACAATTCTCAATTTATAAGGAACAAATTAATTATTAAAGTACAGGCTTTTTCTATATCAGATACTGACCAGAGTTATTTATTACTCCCCAAATATTCAACATTATAATGCTATGATTGATTTATTTCTCCACCATCATTCTGTTCACAGCACCCTTATATGGAAAACATGCTCCAGTTTAAAAAATTCCAAATCCAAATCCAAGGCAGATGGTATATTAATTAGAGAAAGAAAATAGAATTGCTCAGGAACTGTTTTGCTGTCTTAAAAGCAAATGATCTTTAAGCTGAAAAGAACAGAAGAAACCTCACTGAGAGAGAACCAAGGTACATGAAGAAGAAGTCACTTTAAAAGAATTCATGTCTTCAAATTCTGGTGAATTATATTCCAAGGAGAACCCACAGATGTAAGCACAGAAATATTCTGACTACCTTTAGAAAAACATGGAGAAGGAGGGAAAGCTCAAGAAACACACTTTTTTCCCCTAATTTTTTTAAAATTCAAAACTGAAGGAAAAAATCAGAGTTCCTAGGCATTACAAACCAGTTAATACCGATCTCTGGCAAAATTCAAGATTTAAATAAAAAACAGGGAACATTTTGGGGGGGGGTAATATTGGAGACTTCTGGGAACTTGCAGTTCACTAAGAATCAGTCATTTTTAAACTAACGTCATTTACTTTTGTGACAGATCAGAGAATACTCACAATGTTTACTTTCAGCAAAGCATTTCATTAAAATGTTTCTCATGATGTCCTTCTGAAGAGGACTGATCTATGGGCTAGAAGAGTTTGATACAAATACAAAGGACAGTGCTGAGTTCAGCTGATTCATTAATTTGTCTCAGCTGAGGGCCACCTACATTCCCAACCAGTACTGCGCTTGGTACTTTCAGCACATTACCCTGAATTCTAACAATCACTTGAAAGGTATGTGTTTCTAACCTCATTTTATTGATATAGAAAAGAAGTTTCTCAAGATCACAAAGCTAGTAGGTGTCAGGGCCAGGTTCCAAAAGTCCAGGACGTTCACTGTGCCACAGGTTTCTAGATGTGCCACCATGGCAAAAGGACCCGTCCCATATATTATCAATGACTTGAATGGTGAGCAAACTCACCACGTGCAGGTGCCGCAAAACCAGAAGGTAGGGTGAACGTGATGACTGCCACAATCAAGATTAAACACATCTAACAAACCAGAGATTGGAGAGAGGCTTACAGTAGTGGGAGAGAAAACAAAGTTCATATTCAAGAAATTTTTAACTGCACAATTAAAAAGTGAGGAGGGGTAGAGCAGGAGTAGTGGTGAGGTTTTCAGTCAACTTTGGTGTATTTACACCAAAAAAAAAAAAAGCCAATTGAAAATTAGACAACTTTGAGGACAGGAACTTGTTGCAGCCTGCCCTGTGCATATTAGACTGAATTACTGAATTCAATTTGGGGCTAAGGATCTTTAGTACAGAGAAGGGTCTTAACGTAAGGAAGGAAAAATAAAAGTGATTATTATTTAGTGAAGATAATTAACATTTACTAACTTCCAGGCAACTATGCTAAGCACTTTATGAACATTATCCCATTTAACCCTCATAATAACCCTACAGGTAGCAAGAGTATATTATCATTCCCATTTTACAGATGAGGAAGCTGAGGCACAGGGATCTGAAAGGCTGTCAAGTAAAGTAGACAAAAGTTTTACTCTGTGCCACTTTAGACTTCTCATTTCTTTCCTAAACAATATTTTATTTATTTGTTATTGTATCATTTTATTTTAAACTGGTGGGGAGAGGTAATTAGGTTTTATTTTATTTTTAGAGGAGGTACTGGGGATTGAACCCAGGATCTCAAGCATGCTCAGCATGCACTCTGCCACTTGAGCAATACCTTCCTCCTGGACTTTTCATTTCTAAACAGTTTTTCAGTTGGATGAAAGTTTTAGATCTCGGCTGAAAAACTCTACATATAATTTCACAAGCAGGAGGGCTACTGGCAAAAGTAGGACTAATGATAAACAAGTCCAAGGAAGCGGTTGTCAGTTCAGTGTAAACAAGGCCTTGCTAATAATAACAGAAAGAGGGATACCTCACAATGCAGTTAGCTCCCTCTCACTGAAGTGTTTGCCCAAAGTGTGGCTGGTCCGTCAGGAGTGCAACAGGGGGACATTAAAATGGGCTGGAGTTTGGTCTATGATTTTAAAGTCCTCTTTTGATATAAGGCTGTAGGCCTAAAAAGTAACTTTTGTTTGATGGCAAAACAAGTAAGTTGTTGTTTTTCTAGGCCATTCCGCTGAATACGTCAGACAGAATACCTAAATAATGTTATTTGCCATCTCTATGTGGTACCCGTATCAGGTATTTGAAAACAACCTCGTCCTAGGGAAAAAAGATAACATTCAACTGTTGATCTTGATGTGATTTATACACTGTAATAATATATAATAAAAGTAGACTCCTTATTCCTCTGAATCCTTAACTAAAATTTTTCCTAAAATAAATACCATAAACACCAGATCCTAAAACGATGGCGTCTTTGATGAGAAACGTTTACTAATTTATAATTTTATGTTAACCTACTTCCATAAAGGATGGGGAGGGAGCATGCGGGAAACAGAAGAGAAATAACTCCAGTTTTTCTGCTTTGCCTCTCCCCTAAAGGCTGAAGGATCTTGCTGTCTACTGCGCTTTATTTCCCATTTGCATAATTCACCTCAAGGTTCAGCCTCCCACCGCTAAAAGCAGAGGCGCTCGCACTTTGCTCATGACATGCCTTTCAGAGCACAAGCCTGACAGCTTGGCATACAAATTAAATGTTCACAGGCAAATCTCTTACCTGAAAATCTTCATTCACTCTTCAGGGAGGAAAGTGAAACTGCAACTCATAATGCAAAACCTTCCATTTGGGGGCTCAGAACAAGGTGGGGCTAAGTCCTCAATTAGGAGCCGGAGAAGTGAGGCCCAATGCCAGACACCTGGCCGAGAAAGATCCGCTTTAATCAAAACCTCCTGTAACTCACAGGTTTCTGCCACCGAAAACCAAAAAGGCAAAGCTGACGAGCCGAGACCGACAGACACACGCCGGTCGCCCTCCCACCAGGGGTTCACTCACACAGCTCCTTGGCGGGCAGCCGCGCGCCCCTCGCGCGTCGGGACGGCGGCG